AACACATATTCAATACATATGAATGTGACTTCATGAAACTTGTATAGGCGCTTTAAATACAAAAGTGTTGAAGCAAAGCAAATGGTTTCCAGATTTTTTGAGACACGTCTGTGAATAATCATCAAATCACAAGGGGTGCCATCTATTGAGCCCACATTATCGCAGACATTGGGCTGGTGCTTGTTCATATCATCTCACTTGATCTTCCTATCAGCCCTGCCAAGTCTGTGGCATTATTCTCGTTTGAGACAAAAGAATGTTTCACTAAGCCTGGAGTTAAGCCTCACAGAGAAAGAATATTTGCCTGAGGGCATGCAGCTGACAAATAGAGGACCCAGGGGGACCTGGGACCTCTTCCCCAGAGCCTGGGCTCTTCCCTCAAAAGGAAAGAAACCTTAACCCCCCAAACAGCATCTGTCTGTTCGCAGTCTTCAGACACTAGGAACATTGATAAGGCAACTTGTGGGAGGTTTGTTCACTCTCTTTACTATCCGTTGGAAACAAATTACAAATAAAATAATAGAATTTCGTATTCTCTGAGTGGATGCCTGGCTTTTCACATCAAGATCACCACTACAGAATTACATGTGTGTTTAGTCTGTGGGTTTCTGTGTTGTATGCGTGTGTGTGCATCCGTGTGTGTGTGTGTGTGTCCATGCAGTGTGTGCATCCACTCAGGGGGATATCTAGGTTTTATGGGGCCTGAAGCTTATAATTTGGGGGACACATATGGCTTTAGGGCTCCTCCCAGGAGCCTGTGCAGGTGAAAGCCCTGCAACTCACCAGCTTCCTAGCAGCATCACCTCTGTACGTACATGTATATGTATGAACCATGTATATATGCATGAAGATGTATAGAGAAACCAACAATAGCTCGTGTCCCTTAGGAGCCTTGGTTCCATTGCTTAGTACAATAGAAGCACCTTTTACAGTTAGCACTAGGTATTGCTTTTCTGGGAAGACAGAGAAGATTTATCATGAATCAAATGGGCCAAGAATTTTTTGACAAGTGCCTTTTGAATTCAAGCCAGTGGTCATTAGCTAAGATAGATAACACAGTACTATGGCTCGTGCTCTTTATTTTCAGCAGGCAAATAAATATAACTTATTTTCGACTCTCGTTTTTTATTCCAGAGATCTTTTTGTTAATACTACTTTTTAGATGTGATCTTCTGTGTATATACGAACATTTTTAAGGTGTAACAGGAGAACAGGCTGGGTGTTGGAGAGAACAGGAGGCAGCAGAGAGGGGAGAGGATGGGGGTGGGGTCTTTATTTATTGAGAAAACTGTTGTAGACAAGACACATGTTCTCTGTTGTTCCAGAGCCAAAACTAGGAACTGAGGTACATGAGTTTGCAGGCGAGGCCAAGTTCCAACTCAACAGAAGAACTTTCTATCAACTAGAGCTGTCCAAAAATGGTTTGCTTATGTTTGTGGCCGGCCGCCCATCCCTGGAAGTACTCAGTCAGCCAAAGCTACTTCTTGGCAGGGGAAGGGGAGGCAGGGGACTTCTACTGAACACAAGTTTGAGTTAATCTAAGTAACCTCTAGAATCCTTTCTAAGATTCCAAGCTATTATTGGGCATACACTGTTACTGCCCAACCACATGTACCCGGGCTATGCACCATAAGTTGGTGTCTCCCCCATAGTCCCAATGCGTTTGTGCTAAGCCAGGCACATTCCCCAACTGAGCCCCTGGTTGCTGAGGAAACATGTCTGTGAATGGACTGATCCATCTATGGCCATCCTCTACAGTCTTCAAATTCAGTTTTTTCCTGGCTTGGAATGTGGGACCTTTGCCCCATGCTCACACCCATTAACCAGCCATCCCAGGTGGCACTTACGAATGTGATCTCACTAGTTCTCATCACGGGCTAATGGTTTAGGTAAGGAACTGGCAGAGTTCCACTTGCTTCACCCCTCTCCTGCTTTCTCTCACACACTGAGACAGGAACTTTCTCTGCCCGGCTCCCTTTGCCAGCTTTGGGATGAGAGACAGAAGAGAGCCAGCACAGAAGCCTGGGAGAGTCTGGGGTGGAGGGCCTGTCAGCCCTTCTGTGGGCCTGCACAGCAGGCCCAGGGGAGGGGCTCAGCAGGAGGGGTCCAGAGAAGCCAAGATGGGTGAATGGCCTCAATTAACCTTTGCCCTTTCTGCAGGGGGAACATAACAATGACCATGACCCACGCACTCGTTCTCCATGAGAGACTGCCTTAAGGGTCTACAGGTCTGTCCTACACCACTGTAATAATATCAGTAAGAACCGTGATGGTGGCGGGGATAGCTGTGGTCACAAAAACAACTCATGTTTGCTGAGTTCTTGCTCTTTGCCGAGCCCCCGTGATGAGCTCATGACAGGGATTACCTCATCCCCTCCTCACATGAATTCTGAGGTAGATGCTATTAACATGGCCATTTTGTAGACCAAGGAACTGAGGCCTAGAGAGGGTGAAGGACATGCCTAAGACCCTGGTCTGACTCCAGAGCCTAGACTCTTCCCCATTCTGCTTTGTTGCCTCGCTTTCTGTATGTACATAGAGAAATGGAAACACAAAAAAGAAGTGACCTGCCAGGTCTTAAATCAGCACACAGCAGAGCTTCTTGGAGCCCCAAGAGCGACCTCTGATGAGAGGTCAACGGGTAACATGCACGGCACACTCGCCTGCTCTAGGTGCTTCGCCACACTCCCCTCGTTGAACCCTTGCAGCAGACTTGGAGGGTAGATGTCATTTGCATTTCACAGGGAAGTTCAGGGACTTGTTCAAGGTCACCGGGTGCAGAGGGGCTGGGCGGCCTGCATCTGCAAGTCTGTGCCTTCCCCGCCACATCAGCCTGCCTCTCTGAGCGAACAAAGTTGAACACCCTCACAGACACTAAATTTGTATTTCCTGGCCTCCTCTTCCAAAATGGATACACTAATTACTGGCCATTTTTTTTAGTAATACTAATCATCAGGAACACATTTTTCAGTATTGCGTTTTCTCTTTCCGCGTACTACCGAAATAAAGCATTGCTCAAACCCACAGGATAAAACCCAGCGGGTGTGAGGCCATGGAAATTAAGAAAAGTTCAGGAAGACATTACACTACACCAAAAGAAACAAAGTGTTGATTAGGGACTTATTTTTGTAAGCGATTAAAATATGAATCATTAAAATAGGACTGTATTTCAGGCTCTGTACCCTCCTCTCATCAGAGACGACATTACCATGACTACTAGGTTCAGATTAGATGTGCTCCAAGCTTTCCCAGCTCAAAAAACGTACTCGTGTGTGCCACAGTTCTACCTTCCACAGAACATTCTTCCCCAGGTCTGGTGCAGAAACCCTCTGCGTCGTCTCGCCCATGTCATTAGCAGGAAATGCCCAAATGACATGCTGGCCTTCAGCTCTTTAAAGTCTTTTTCTTTATTGAATCCTAATAGTAAATAGTGTCATTAAGTAATACTAATAACCACCCAAACTCAAAGGTAGAGGAGGAATAAAGTCAAAGCAAAGACACAAAGGCACCTCAGGAATCACTTAGAACAGAATATCCTCGAACTTTATTTGGTACAAATGGTTTGCAGAAAGAAAGAAATTAATCTGGAGCATTTCTCGGGTTCAGACAGAATTTAAAAGAAAAAAAAATTTAGCAGTAGCCCAAAATATGCAGTTAAGTTGTTAATTAAAGTATCGGTTAAAAATGGCTAAAATTAGAGACAAAAGCCCATTGTTTGGTACAATTGTTGACTGCATATCTGTATATGGAAGGGCGTAGGGGGACAGTCAGAAAAGCCTGTGGTATATTAAAGATTAATCACCCACCCCTAAGGGGTTTTGAGCACCCACCTGCATTTTTGAACTTGGATCTAAGCCGAAGGGGTGGGACAAGACCATGACAGGTTTTGGGGGGCTTTTTTGTGCTTTTGTTTTTTGGGGTGTTTTTTTTT